GATATGACACACCTCTGCTCAAAACCCTTTCATGGATCTCATTCAGAGGAAGAGCCAAAGTACTCATGAACTCCAAGGCCTCACCTAATGTGTCTCCTACCCCTGTTCCCCTTATCTCTGACCTCATCTCCAGCCACCCTTCCTCCCCTGTTCCTTAACCATGCCAAACATCCTCCCACCTTAGGGCCTTGTCACTAGCTGGAATGCTCTTTCTGCGGATGTCAATATGGTAAACTTTCTTACTTTAAGTCTCTCTTCAAATGTCACCTTGTCGAAGAGGCATACTCTGACACCCTTTTAAAATCACTATCTGTTTCTCAACCCTCGCTTGCACCATTTATCCCCTTTGAGCTGCTTTAGCTATTTTCTCATAACATTTGTCTTCTCTAACATAATATGTAATTTGTTATTTATTCTTTGTCTTCCCCTAACAGTGTAAAGGGATTTCTGTCAGTTTTATGGACTCTAGGTTTCACAGTTTCCAAAATAGAGCCGACACATAGTTGGTGCTCAGTAAATGTTCAGTGAATGATGAATGAAAAGTTTGAATTATAAAAGGATAGGGATTGCAGGGATAGGAATCAATATAAAAAATTACTTAGTGTTCAGACGTGTGCCTGAACTCTGCAGACAAGACGTTAGGTTAGTACTGGGTATTTCAAAAACATTTTCTTTTGGGCTGGCTGGTTAGCTCAGTTGGTTAGAGCATGATATTATAACACGAAGTTCACAGGTTCAGATCCCGGCTCCAGTCAGCCACCAAAAAGAAAAGAAAATGCTTTGTTTTCTGGAGCAATGGCTGAGTAGGACATTGGATGTGCAATGTCCATCTCCTCAGTTGCTTATCCTTATAAAACTCAGTACAGGACTGTGAAGAGGTCCTCATCATAGGGAGAATGTCAAACTTTAATTCCCTATAAAATGTTATTTAAGGTGGGCCAGTTAGTTCAGTTGGTAGATTGTGATGCCTGTAACACCAAGGTCGAGGGTTTAGATCCCTGTACCTGCCGGCTGCCAAAAGAAAAAAAAAAAAAAAACCCAAAACAGAAAAACCCATCTAGAAAGAAAGATAAAACAACCATGTATCCAGAGTAGATGCAATGAAACTTCTCTTCACCCAGTCATTTGCTTGTTTTTCTATTCGTTCATAGCACCGGGGAGTGTTGGGAAGAACGTTCAGAGATGGGACAAGAATTCCCCAGCATCCAGAACTCGTGCAGCTCCTAGAAAACGAGGTGAAGAACTTTCTACATTCTGCTCTTCCTCCATAGCCCGACTTCAGTTTCATTCAATCTCACTTCTTTGATATCCTCCAGCTCTTAAAATACCTTTTTAATCCATACTGGGTTAGAAGTCACCACTTATTTCTTAACTATTAAGAATCACAAAAGCCCAGGTTTGGGGGCACCAAGATGTAAGTTCAAATTTCCATCCTTGAAGCTCAGTTTATTTGATTTTTAAAAAGAGAATAACAACCCGGGCCGGCCCGTGGCTCACTCGGGAGAGTG